AGGAACAGCCCCAGCCCTCCCAACAGCACCGGAGGCACGATTGACAGCGATAGCTGGGACCCCCGCTTCAACGATGTCCCCTCCTCCGTCTCGCTGCCCGCCAAGAACAGAAAGAGCTTCAGTCAGCTTAAGCGAGCAAAACCCTACGGTTCCCTCTTCCAGCGGGCAAAACCTGGCAACTTCCTGCCGGAGCGAAAGCAAATTGATAAGATCAGGAAGAAGAGAAAACTGAAGAGGAGGGAAACGGAGGTGTCTGCAGAAGAGGACTATGAGGAGAAGCTGCTGGAGCTGGAGGCGGAGGACTCTTTTGTAGAGACGCCCATGAGCCCCTCGTCTGAGGGCGACCCTCAGTCCGCGGCCGAGCACGGCTCGGTGTGGGACTCTGACACGCCGTCCAGCGTCTCCTACCCTGCTGTGACGGCCGAGCAGACAGTGGAGATCCAGAGCGTGGGCAAACGAACGGTCATCCGGCAGGGCAAGCAGGTGGTCTTTCGGGATGAGGACGGCACCGGCGATGACGAGGACATCATGGTGGATTCGGGTAGGTGGCCTGGCTGTCGGGAGAGGGTTAGCCCGGTGGCAGCGGTGGTGGCGTTGCTGATTCTTTGGTGCTTTGCTTGTAGCACGAGGATAATGCCAAGGTGCGCTGCCTGGGCAGAATTAAGTAGTGGTTGGCTTTGCCAGGGGGGAAGGGGAGGTTGGTTGGCTGCTTTTGCAATAAACTGAGGGAGAAGCTGCAGCTTTATAGAAGCAGCTGGTTCTGCTCTCCTGGATTATGACCTCTTGTGTACGGCTGAGAGTGTCTTTCCACGCAAGAGACTAGTTTCTCTTAAGACGTGGAAAACTCAGCAAAACGCCCACCTTTGAAACCCAGGTAGTTAATTTAGTATGAAAGGAGAGAGTAAATTCCCAGTGCAGGCGAGAGGCGTTGGCAGTTAGAAACGTAGCTTGCTGCTTCTCCTTGCAGATGACGATTCGTGGGACCTGGTCACTTGCTTCTGCATGAAGCCTTTTGCCGGGCGGCCGATGATCGAGTGTAACGAGTGCCACACCTGGATCCACCTCTCCTGCGCCAAAATCCGCAAGTCCAACGTGCCAGAGGTCTACATATGCCAGAAGTGCCGGGACTCCAAGTTTGACATTCGCCGTTCGAACCGCTCCCGGACGGGCTCGCGCAGGCGCTTTCTGGACTAGGGGAGGGAGGCGCGTGCTGGTGCGCTGCTTGGGCAGGCGGGCGAGCTGTGGACGCCGGCCGGGAGGCCGGGGAGGGCTCCCCCGAACTGCTGCTGCTCGGGCTGAAGGGCTGCCCGGCTGCCCTGCGGCAACAGGGACGAGGAATCGCCGGGCTGTGGGCAGCCGGGGCTGGGAGAGGCCGACTGGGCAAAACTGCTGTTGGGTACCGATGAGCTCAAGGGGCAGCCTAAGCTCTCCGCGTTCGGCGGGGTTTTGTCCGGTTACAACTATGAACTGGGTGATGTCTGGGGAATGTATAATACCTTTGCCATGTATGTTTTCTCATCCCATCGGGAAACTGCAAACCTTCTCTGTGCTAGGAAACTCCTCTTCCTCCAAAGAGGGAGGAGGAGGAGGAGGAGGAGGGAATCTGTGTGAAGAGTCAATGGCCATGTGTTTTAATTTCCATGTAATATTATACCTGCCCATTTGTCCGTATATATCCACCTTAGATATTCTAAGGCTCCGTAGGAGGGAGCGTCAACGCGTACCGACCTCTGCGCCATCGGCCTCCACTTCGGCGGGCCCGGGCACTAGAGGAGTTCTGTGACTTGGCGTCGTTCAAGTGAAAACGGGACTTCACGTGCCGAGGGACCGGGGCGTTTAACAGGGAGAGAGCAGCCCTTTTTCTGGACAGGCAGCGCTGGGGATTAGTGACACCGGATTTCTTCCTAGAAGGTCTTTTCTTACGGTGACTTTTCGTGACTTTGTTTTGCATGATTGGCTCAAATGTGTGTACGGGGAGATACCGTTTGCTCCGTCTCCTGGCCCTTCGTTAAGCTCTAAGGTGCTGTTTTAAGACGACGACTCTTCCTTTTCTCAGCCCAGAATTCAAACATTGACTGTAAAAGGGGCCATAGAAACTTAGAACCTGGCGGTCTGGTTTTCGATTTGATAATTTCCATCTGAGTACTACAGCTGAGTTGACTTTTGTTTTCCCTGTTTGTTTTTTGAGACTGGATTTGTAATCAAAAAACTGGAATCTTTAATGTATTGGTTGCAAATTACACAGATAAAAGCAAAAGCAGGCCATGCAGCTGGTGAGATGAAGTGCAATGGAGAGCCATTCGGTGCGGGGGAGGACAGGAGAGCCCCGAGGCCCCCGGCACTGCTGCGGTCCCTCGACGGGACTTCCTGGGGCCTCAGCCCGAGCGAAATCCGTTCGGACACGTGACAGGGGGTCGAGGTTCGAACGCAAGGCCAAGACGGTTCCTCGACGACCAGCCAGCGCGATCTGTACGTATCGCACAAATCCAGATTACGTTCCAAGGTATTTCTCTGAAGTTCCGCCCAATGGACAATGTGTGCTCTGTCCGGTGAGACCTCGAGGCAAGGAGGCACTTGCTGGTGCCACAGCTGAAGCGAGACTGGCCGTACTGGGAACACATCCACGCTCGTCCTGCAGATCCACCGCGTCAGACCACCACCTTACCCAAGTAGTGGCTTGTCAGGAGATGGACCCTAGGGATGACCAAGGATCTTCCCAGTCCACAGTCAGGTACCCTCCTTCAGAGGTCTGCCAGCGCTTCAGGCAGACGGAGCAGCACTGCAGTGCCCTGGGGCTCTGCTGCGTGGGACGCAGGGCTGCGAAAGCTCTGCCGGCCTGGGCCAGGACAATGGAGCTGCACAACGTGCAACTGTTCTGTCCTGCTTCTTTATGAAAACCCTGTTCCAAGCTGCAACAACTGACTCTGGGTTCTGAAAAACCAGCTCCAGCCTCTGTAGAACCTTAAGGCCATGACCGTGGTGTGCTGCCTTCCAGAAGCTACGTGAAACCACCGAGGAGTTTGCCAAAGACTTGTCCCCAACGGCTGCCTGACTGTTCTTTGCAGCCAGAAAAATAACCAAAGTTCTCAAATGCTGCCATTTCACTCTGCAAACAGAGGCTCTGGAAGACCCCAGTCACAGGCTGCGTAAGGGTTGGACCTGCTCTGAAAATCGGTATCTCTGTGTTTACAGCGTGTCCGCAATTCAACTGGACCTCTGTGGAACTCGTTCCTGAAGCTTTTATGGGAGAAATGGCGACCTGCCAAGTGAACTGGCTCTTCTTCACAGAGGTTCGATACTAATCAATGTGACTGACTCTTGTTCTGTTACCTTTTCAGATTTATCCCAATAGATGGTGTCTGACAAGTCCAGCACGTTACAATATCGGCAGAGAGAAAAAAAAAAAGGAACATCTCCATTCTTTTAGTTCATCACTTTCAGCCATGTATAATTATAGTTTAATTCAGAACTTTATTTTTTCATTAAAACTGTTTTAATGAACCATGTTTTTTTTCTTGAATGTGAAACAAGTGAACAATGATTCTGTCTTATTGCAAACTCAGGAGTCTGCTGTTATGATTTACGAGTGTGTAAAGCAGTTGTGCCAGATGGCAGCAAGACTTGATGCTTCAAGTGCTCTTCCCTAAACGATCTGCAGTCACACAGGGATAGGAAGTGCTGCGAGCGTATCCTTCATGTGCTGACAGGAGAGTGCCTGAAGGCAGGCTTGGTGTGTAGAACCCGGGCACGGGGCAGGGCACATCACACCAGGTGAGACTGCTGGCCAAGGTGGCGCCGTGCCTGTCCCACCTGCCCGAGAGCCGCGTCCCTGCAGCCTCAGAAACACCTGGCGCTGTGCTGCGTCGGCCTCGCAAAGACGCCTGCTCAGCCAGACCCAACCCCAAACCCCTGTAAACCCTTGGAGAGCTGTGCTGAAAGAGAGCTCCTTCCCTCCCACCCCTGTCCCACCGCAGGGCAGCACTGAGGTCCCCAAACCACCAAAGGGGTGCTGGTGCCTCGGTGCCACCCCTCAGCTCCTGTACGCGCCACGACCCCAAAGGCACTGCTGCTCAGCCAGCCGCGTTCAAAGCAGCAGCCTTAACGCCCTGGCGAACTTAACGGAGGGCCTGGCTCTTTGGGAACGGCACTGGGTCATACCAGAAGCCAGGCATTGCTTATAGCTTCTGGTTTAATTCTATTTGTGATTTTGTGTTATGGAGAATGATAAACGGAAGCCCCAGAGGAGTTGTAGCTGTCAAATGGCTGTTCTCAGCCTCTTTCAAAACTTTGCAGTGACTGAAAATAAGGAAGAGAGCAGGAGGTGGGCTGGAGTAAGTATTCAACAGGAGATACCGACCCAATACCTTGCTCCAAGCGAGCAAAGGGACAGCACAGGCAGCGGCTCTGCTGCGTCGGACACAATTCAGCAACGCTTGACGGTTATGGATGGGGCAGGGAAGCAAACACGGAGATCATGTATCAACTACCCAGAGAAGAACCTGCTGCAGCAGCCTCAGGAAAAAAAGCAGTACTGGAAAGGAGGGGAAAGCAGAGCCTGGATCCCGGGTGGGCTGATGTGGCAGGAAAGCACAAACTATAGACCTTTTACAGTGTTTAACCAGGGAGCGGGGCACGGCCCGTCAGCGTGAATCGTGAGGGATTTTACTTTAACGAGAGTCACAGATTCAAATGTTCAAAGTACAAAGTTAAAGTTCATCTGTCCCTTGCAAAACTTCTTTGCAATTAGAAAGCTAATTCCGAGGTGCTGGGGGAAGATGGCAGAGAGGGGGAAGGCAGGAGAACCGAGTCAGTTCTCCGACGAGAACAGAGCTGTTGTTAAGAGGAAAGCACCTGCTCGACTCCAAGCACGGGAGGAGGTTTAGGTAGTTTTCCAGCAGAACTGGCGCCTGGAGCTCTGGCTCCTTGTAGCCTTGCGCAGGCCGAGCCGCTCGAGGACAGGGCTGTCAAAGACGAGAGCGCGCACAGGGAGACAAGGAACGACTGTAAAAGTGAATCCTCATCCTGCATTCCACCTTGGGCATTTCCAGCTTAAAGGCTCCGGCCGAACAGACTAGCGTGTTCCCAGACCCTCATGAAGATATTCCAATCACCTGCTAGGTCAGGCAGAGACAGGTGTGCCTCCTGCTTTCAGCTGGGATAGAGCCTGGCACCTGACGCTTCCGTGGCATTTTACAGCTCGCGCTCAGGGATGCTGCCCTGTTACAGGTCTAACTGCTGCAGTGGGAGCAACGCTCGGAAACGTTTGTGAGGTGCAGCAGTACCATGGGGCATCTCGAAGCACGGAGCAGTTCTTAGAATCACATCGCTACTTCTCTACGTTTTACCGTAGACAATATGCAAGAAAACACCTTCATGACAGCAGAAACTGTATCTCGGAAGTTGTCAGAAATGAGGAGAATTGCTTTATTGTGCAAACCTTTTTCAGGAAGACATTCCTCAGTGTCACTGCTCGACGTAGGGCTACGCTAAGATTCCTCTTTGTAATTAGCAGTAAATGTGTTGTATTTTGCACTTGTTTATGCCAAACTTAATTCTCAGTACTCCTCTCAGGAGTATCCTGCCACATCCTACTCACTACAGACTGGCTCTTACTCTTGACTACACACTTCGTGCCCTGACAAGGCATGAAAAAGGAATTTCTGGTGGCGATTTCTGCCCAGTTCAACTAGTTACACATACAAGCGATCAAAAGAGGTCAATAAGCAGGATGTGACGAGAGGGTGCAGTTACATTTACAAAACGTGCAACCCTTGCTTTTCAGGAGTTTATTTTCAAGAGTGTCCTACAGATGCAAAGGGAATGTGGGCTACTTTTCAGCTGAATATAATTTATTGCACATTTTACATTTAATTTCAGATCAACAGAACACTGGTCATCAGTGAAATAAAATCCTGCACCAGGAGCTGATGACATCTGAAGAGTTTTGTTTTGCTTTTAATAAAAACAAGTGAACACTCCTTAATTGTATGAACTTGTTTTATCAGACAGGGAAAGCATCTCTTTCCGACTGGCTTAAGTAAGTCTGCTTTTGGGAATGTAATTCTCATGTTACAATGACCTGAGCAGAGAACCACAGCTGCACAAAGAGGGGCCAGGTACATCCAGGACACGATCTATGGCAGTGGTTGTGAAGAACCACACGCACTGCCGACGTGGCCCTTTCTTCCCCTCTCTCTCATGTGTCAGCCATGAAGGCTGCTCTAGGACTCGCCAAGAGCAGAACTGTGACGGAGGAACAGCCACCATCATTCCCTTTCTCTACAAAAAAGCCTCAGGAGAGTCGATGTACGCAGCATGTAGTACGTACTACAAGGCTGCCGTTCCCATCTGCTGTGTCACCAGAACAGGACTGCCCTTTTTGCTGGTAAGTTACTGGCATGGCTTCTATGCAAGATAAAGCCCATGAATTTATGTCAGAACTGATGCTTTTTAGAAAGGGCAGCTGAATTTTACGTTTTCAGCTCTTTACCCATTTGAAATCTCTCCTCGCTTTGGTCTGGTTTACTATAAACTACATTCCACTTTTTCCTAGAAACAAATTACATGGGAAGAGATAGCTGCAGCATCAGAATCAAATGAAATGAATTGCTGTCCTCCCCTGCTTGCTTTCCTCCTTTCTTGAAAACCTTGATAGTACACGATTCTAGGTGGCAGAAGAATGAATAAGACAATTATTATACCCCGTGTCCTTGTCTGGAACAGCAGTGTTTGAAATGAGCAGCTGGAGAGATTCATGCTGAAGAGGTCCATGTTACTACAAAAGGCAAAGAACTTCATTTCAAACATACTTGTTCTTAACAAGTACATTTCGAATACAGATTTGAGACGGAAAACAATCTCTGTCCTCTTTCCAACCAAAGGATTTACACAGAGGCCTTCCAGGAGGTGGCCAGAGAACTTCACTTCCTCTCAGGAGCACAAAAAGGTATGTTACCTACCCCAGGAGAGGCGAGAACAACAGGTCTTCCCTGCTCAGCACAGGGAGATACACTCAAGACCGCGCAAACGGACTGTGGCCAAACGGCAGCAGGAAGGACAGGGCTGCGTGACGGGCGGTGCGCAGTGCCCGCTCGCTCAACCTCAGCAGAAAGCACTGCACGTTCAGAGTCACGTTGCTTTATTGGTTACTGAGCCACAATTCAGAGCAGTATTGCCTTGGAGCCACCCGTAGAAGCAGGTTCTCTCATTTTGTCTCCTAACGTATCTGGTAGGACACCGCCTGCTATACGGACAGCAAAAATAAAAATGTCTCTGTTCAAACTCGTAGCATCTGGGGGAAGGTTTTGCAGTTTCCGTTGACCCAGGTACTGTAACGGACGCGCACGCTCTCACCAGATTAGCCATCTGCATCGATTCTGTGAGCTGTCGGATGAGAACAATAAATGGATACATGCCACTTCTGTCGGAAGAGACACATCCTGGCTTGAACTTACCACTGTACCAGAAAGAGACAGGAACATTTCTGGCTGCTAACTGAACACGATTCATCTACACCTCCAATGCACTTACGGAAGCTTTGCAAGTTGGATGTGCTTCTTAAATTGGGCCAGGCAGCTGGTCTAGAGCACAACGTGCCCTTTACCAACTCCCCAGACCTACGGGGGTACCAGTAAAACTTATCACTAGCAGATATCGGTTTCACAAAATTACTCTGGCAGGGAAAATGTTCTGGCACATAGATAAATGGGAATGAGGAAGAAATCTGGCTCTTGGCATCCACTTCGCCTTCACATACTCGATTCGGTCCTCAAAGGGCAATGCAATGGGGTGAACTGCCCGGCAGGGACACCGGCAGCTGCAGGAGGCCTCTGTTCTACCTCCAGTTAGATCCATAAGGTTAGATGGTACAAACAGCCGCAGCAGTGCGCTGAGCTCTTTCAGGTCGTACTCCAGAGGCACATCATAGTTCAGTTCAGTAACCCCAGTTCTCAACCCCACAACCCCAGTTGCCTGTGCTTCGCCACACAGAGCTGAAGCAATCCTTTACTGGTTCCTGAGCGAAGGAGCGGCGCGGTCCTTGCTACTTACATTGCTTTGGTATCCTAAGGGCCTCATTGTCAGCTGACATCACTTGGTGCAGAACTCCTCGGAACTGATAAAGCACTTTCAAACTCTTCTCCTCACCCACGCAGGGGTCATAGAAACCCGGCAGCCCAGCCTGGAAACAGAGAAGGATGGATGAGCATCAGGGAACGGACTTTCATAGCTCTTCGCCTGACCCAAAACATTTATTAGTGTCAGAGCGAGGCGTCACTCAAAAAAAAAAAAGGTATTTTGTTGCCAATGAGATGAGACAAGAAGCAAAGGAATTGCCTCCTCAGTGGCAAGTTTTAAACGCAGAAAAAAGCAAATCAGGGAGGTGGGAAGTTTCTGATGTACGGGCCCCAGACTCTGTAACACGACTGTCCTACACTGCAAATAGAGAGATGCTGTTTCTGTGGCACTGGAAATGCCCAGAGAAACAGAAGTTCTTAGAGGCTCCTAACACTTGGCATGTAAACGGCTTCTGTAAATTGATCCAGAGTCACTAGCTTCAAGCACGCTGCAGAAATCCCCTGGTAGGACAGCACAGGGGTCAGTCAAAACTCTGAGTCACACATCTGAGCCCGGCCTTCGACAGAACAGCTACGTACCTTGGATGCCTCTGTAAGGATGAGTTTGGAGTCTTTCACCAAGCACTGCAGGGGCACAGTCACATCTATTACTTTCACCTTCTCATTCTTCCTGCTGTTGTCATTAACAAACTTCCCATACCAGGCGTTCACTACAATCAAACCTGCAATTCACAGGAAATCGCAGCTGTGATGAAAGGCTTCCCACCGACAGCCAGGCAGGCACTCCTGAACAGACCATCCTGGCATCTTCTCTTGCTCTCAATAATATTTAAATTTTCCCTGCCTGGACCTATACTTCTCAAGACAGAAGACCATTTCTACCTTGATAGTCTGTTAGCAATCTTCAACACTAGGACAGAGTGATATGACTTCCGTGTCACACTGATGTCACAGTCCAAGTGGATGTCAGTCCACTTTGGAACATTCTCTTGGAAATTGCTAGCAAACATCAGAATTATGATTTCCACTACAATTCACGAACAAACTGTGTAAGCTAGAGACCAGTGAAACCTAAACTTCAGACTATAACTTTTGCACATATTTATACACACAGTCCTCTTTTGTGAAGAGGTGGATCCAGACTATTGTCTTCAGCCTGTTGATCCACCTCACAGCACATCCCAAGATAATATTCAGCAGATCCCTACTAAGCTTACGCACCAGAAGCCGAATGATAATGGAACTTCCCCACTACATGAACAATAGCAACTATGCTGTGCTTCATTAGGGGCAAAACCAAGAAACCATACCTTGCATTTCTCCCCCTCAACCACCCAGCCTTTGTATTGTTCCTTTCTCTCTTCAAATTTATGGAGTAAGCAAACAGTGTTGTAATCTTTACCCATTCTGGCTTCCTCTGCTTCAATTATCCTCCGGACAGACTCTTGCATTAACCGGACCTGTCACAAGGGGCAGAGCAAAAATCAAGCAGTGCCAGACACTGTGTCCAAAAGAGAAAAGCCCAGGGTGAAAACAGCTTCCTTTAACTAAGGGGCATTAGTTACCAGAAAGACTTACCGCAGCTTCAGCCTCCTGCTTCTTCTGCAGGATATCGCTGGCCGTGCTCTCCCTTTGCTTCTCCAGCTCTCTGCCATAAGGAAGTCAACATCACGTCAGCTCTACGCAGTGGATGAGATTCAGCCGCGAAGTGGCAGACGTCTGCGTACCCACCCCAACTACAACTGACCCACAACCTCACAGAAATGAGCTCAGTTTGAAGGTTCTTCCCACCTTTCAGGATATTTTTGTAGGCTTCCAGAATGCAGCAGTATCGCTGACGCAGTGAGCCTCAGTGCCTCAGCTGGATATCCCGGCCTGTGCACTGGGCTCCCGGAGGCACTCAAGGGGACTTCCCAGCTCTGAACTTAAAACACAGTCTTGCGAGCTCACCTCTCCTTTTGTGCCCGGAGGTAGGGTTTGATGATTAGCCTATGCATGGCGAAGTAGATAACGAGAGGTCCCACAGTGGCATAAAATACAGCACTGGGAAGCAGCTGATCCGTTAGGTGGACGGGGAAGAAGTAGGTCTGGCTAGCCCTATTCAACCTGAAACAAAAAAGAACAGAGTGACAGGTCAGAGGAAACGCAGAATTTAACCTGTTTGATTAAGGACACTTAGCAGGAGTGTACGCTGCTGACCCACCGCCGAACCGAAGGAGAGACGAACGATGAGCTCAGAAAGGTGAAAATCTGATAAACTGAAACAAGACAACAGCAGACAGACAGCTGACGCCACCCAGAGCCACACTTTTATGTAGCAGACATCTCTTGTGATGGTACCTGGTCATTCTAAAGTGGTTTTTTAATCTTAGGAGAATTTATTTGGTCATTAATTTCACCAGAGAAAGGGACCAACATCATCATCAAAAGAAAACGTGTATAGAGAAGGTCTATGTTCACAACACTGGCATGTGCCTTCAAGGAAGGAGCACATGAGTGTTTTTCTGATGCTTATAATAACATTTATTTTGGAAAACACCAGTTGTCTCAGGAGGGCGGGCATCACGTCCCTGTGGTTCCCGTGCCCTGGCACACCTCTGCCGGCACTGGTGAAAAATGGCCCATGGCACGGGAACCCTGAGGGAGCTCTGCCCCACCTCGAAACTGCAGCTTATTGATAGCACGATCACCTACGTTAGTTAATGGTAATTCAGTAACTCACACGTATACTTGTGTACAGAGCTACAAAAATGGAACACAATTAAATCCATTTCTACTAATATCATTCTCAGAAATCTGCCGTCCACTCACCGTAACGCTCCAAACCTTATTTCAGGCTGTATTTTCAGACTAGTTTGATGCAGGTACACGCACTAGCCCTGGAAGAGGTGGCTCAGGCCCAGAGTAACACCAGCAGAAACACACATTGCTGCCCATGGGCACTGCCTGTCTCAGAGGCGAGGGCAGCTGCACCCTTTCCCAGTGATATATCAATGTACCTGTATTGCCCTACGACTGGGACCTTCCCACCTGAATATCGGAAACAGAATAACGCAGGTTATGGTCAGACTCTGCAATTTAGAGTTTTAATTTTGAACTGACTTGATTTTCAAGGATACTCCTTGGGGAACACCAACACTGACAGTGGCTCCTAAAACGCTGTGTCTGGAAATCTTCCTCTCTGCTCCGTACTCCACTATGGTCCCAAAGAAACCCGCCCTAGAATGACAGAACCAAAAACTGGTAAGACAGGAAAGATTCCTGAATTTCTCTTTACTGAATCCCGTAATTCTCCCATAAGTAAAACATGCAAATACATCTGTGTGCAGCAAATGTTGGCTACTGGAAGAATCGCAGTGTATTTACAAGGTGAGATTAGTCTTTTCAGCTTGCAAAGAAGTAAATAGATTACAAGAACTTCTGGATTTCTTGTTGGTGATGACACAGAGATACCACACACGAGTATTTTCAATTCCGCTAAGCTTCCACAATATCCATTTCAGTGGTTACTAGACTTAATTAATGAAAAGCAGATGTCCAGAGAAGCATTTGATTTGTGTGCAACGTGGAGGCCTACAACAGCAGGAGAGGACTGATTCTTCAGGCTGTGAGCAATGTGAGTTTCCTGTTGCACACTTACTTGAGAGAACCTTTCACTCGTGTCTGATCCTCGTCCTGAAACTTATGCTGATAACTGACCATCATGAAAGAATGGGGGATTCCCAGCTGAAACACAAGAGGCATAAATGTATGTGAACGTACCCTCAGCCACCACTGAATGTTTCCCCCAATTTCCTCCTTATCCTAAGTGGCACACAAGACACAGCAATGCCTACCACGTACTTGTCACAGCCTGCAATCTCTGCAGGCTGTGTTGTGCACCCTGACCCTCATCTGCGCTGATCCACATTAGATATGACAACGTTGGGTGCAAAACGTTGGGCTCTGCCAAATGCAGCTGGTTACCTACATCAGACGTTCATACGAGACAGTACCAACTGCTCCATTATCCTCTGGTCCCAAGCCAAAACACTGGTGGGACGGAAAAGTCAAGGCACTTCTGTTCCACAGAGCAGTATCAGCCCCCTGCGTAGAGCAACAGGACTCTCACCTGTAACGCCACGGTGAAATGGCTGGTTTTTGTATCCCGGACAATACTGGTGTTCATGGCTGACTGGATGCCCCACCGCCACTGCAAGTACCCCATCGTGTTCTTGTCGAGGTTGCGGGCTAGGACCGTGGTGAGGCCTGGGCGGATCCCACGGGATGAAAACTGCAGGGCGCAGTTTGTAGTGATGAAACTAGGAGAAACAAGGAAAGCCTCATCAGTGACGAAACACAGGCTCCCAGATGGACATTCTTTCTTTCCCAGAAACCTTGCTGACTGTGCAGAGACCATCCTGCAAAGAGCACGATGCCTGAGGGTTTCAGGAAAAACTCAGAACTAATTCAGTACTGTACCAACCACAGCACTGCCCAGAAGAGCAGGCTCATGCCCTAGTTTATTGGTCCGTGCCATGACACCGCAGCCAACGCAGCAGGCTACCCTCCAGCCTTGCGCTTCTCGCCCAAGGCAGACAAAGCCCTGGTCTTCTGTAGAGGCAGCACGCTTGGCTGCTAGAAGATAGCAGCCCTGCTATTTAATAATTCTCCAGCATCAGCTCCAAAAAACAGCATTAAAGCATTCTACAGGGAACAAGATCCTTGTATAAGCTCCGAGGAATGGCATATTTACTAAGTTAGAGAATACAAAAAGAAGCAAGCCTACACCATTAGACCATTTTTATAATATTTACCATCTTGGCGTAAGATTACGGAACATCTTCAGACCGAAGAGAGGTCCCTGAAGGTCTCCTGCTCCAAGCTCCAACTGTTTAAACGCACAATGTCCAATCGTTACAAGAAAACATCTTTTACAACAGTGACAAAGTACTTCACGAGCATCATTTACTTGCAGACGTTTTACAAATATGAGTAACATTTACCATGTATTTCAGCATCCTCTCTTGTCTGCTAGCTTTGCATTCAGAATAAGAGGTGTCTCACTGAGTAGGGTCCTCATGAGTGAAACAAAGCGAGTTTCACAGTCCTGCAGGCTACTACTAGTAGTACCTGCTCCGGGTGCTCCAGTGAAAAAGAAGAAAACACCTCCATGCCAGCGCCACAATGGCAAACAAGGCTTGGCTCTGAGGATGAGTCCTCAGGACAGGCTCACAGTAACGTTGTCAGCAGTTCTGCTGCTGCACCATCTCAGTGTCTGCAAAATACTCCTGCTGCTTCATCCACTGCTCTGGGTGACTTCCAGGGCTGCTACTCAATGTTTATTTGGTGCTGTTCAGTCTCATTAACGGAAGCAGCTCTTAGACCCAACGCTTTTCTTGACAAAATCTGCAAAAGCAGTTCCTACTACATCTGTATCTCCCAAGTAAGTTTATTACATGGGTTTTTTAAAACTTTTTTAGTCAACTGACTCATGACAAGGTCCTGCATTACCAATATTACAAAATCCTGATGCAAATCAAATGCCTCCAGTCTATGAATTCCCAAACGAGAGGAAAACTCCCATTTCTCACAAGAAACAGGTTAGGAGGAGCTAGTGTGCAAAAAGGAAGGTGCAGAAAGCAGAGCCACCTGCCAGCCATAGCAGCAACGCCACGAGCGTCTCAAAGTCCTTTGTCTAGCAAGGCTGTCCTGGTTTCACTGGGGTAGAAACACAGAATTTCTAAAGTAAGCTGCATTTTTAAGAAGACTGCAGCACCGGATTTGGTGAGAACAAAGCTGATAAGACACTTTGTTTTAGTCTGTAGCCAGCTGGGGTATGCAGGTATCCATAGCAATCAAGGACTTTTCAACTTGTTTTTGCTAATGACCCAGGGTCTCACCCATCATTCCGCTCCCGAGGCTTACTCCCTCTCTTCCAGGATTGCAGTTCCAGGATTTTCCTGCTCCGGGATCACTACCCAGGAATGGACTGGACATTGGTCAAGGAATGGTGAGCAATTGCACCGTACATCACTTGTCTGTATGTACTGTTATTATTATCATTATTATTTTCCATTTTATTTTATTTCAATTATTAAATAGTTCTTATCTCAACCCCCGGGTCCTCCTTCCTTTTCCTGACTCCCCTGCTCAAGTGGGGAGGGGTCACTTGGTAATACAAAACGAAGCAGAGCTAAAGGTCCCTAACACAAGGTAACTGATCCACACAGTCTGAAACACGCGGATACAAAAACGCGTAACTGCCAGTACTCTTACCTCTCCCCATCCCTTGGCAGATGTCACTCGTCTCAGAGCAAGATTAATCGATCCACCTCCGTTCCCGTTCTGGGTGGAAAGGTTACCAGACAGTATTGCTGTGTCCGTGGCAGTCAGTGGTGCCTGAAAAACGAATATATTGTTACCAATTACTCTGATGGCAATTCACACGTTTGATGCGTATTCTGCAAGGACATAATCGTGACTGCAGAGAGAATAATCCCCCAGAGACAGGTAACACTCCAGTTGACTTCTTGTCATCCAACCAGCCATGGCCACACTTGCTCTAAATTTTGTAGTCAAAGATCAAGCATGGCAAAAAGTGAGCTAATTCTTACCGTACCAGGCATTTGTGACACCTTTACTGTGCCACTTGTATTCCTGACCCTGAGCTGCAAACCCCTCCACTCTCACTAGCAGACTAGATTTCTTCAATTCTTTGCAACAGAGGAAACACTTCCCCCTGCCTTCCTCACCCACATCCTCGAAGCTGGGCGCCGTTTCTTTTCATGCACAAAACACTCTGTGTTCAGTGAGAACAGGTACCTGTTTTCCATCACGACTGAGCCTCCCCGCTAGCGGGAGGGCAGGGCTGCTGTAGCCTACAAACCAGTCAAACGTGTGCCGTACAGCCAAGGCGCAGTCCTGCTGGAACCGAGCCTCCTCTTCCCACCCACACTGGTAACCGTGTCCTTCCACAAATCACGATGAGAAACCCCCCGAGCAGGGTTTCGGTTTCTGTTGCTTGGCACTGCAGTGCCTCGTCAGCTCAGGCTGCCCCACACCAGCAGCGGGGTCTGCCCTCCTTACCTCGATGGACTGGGATATGTGCATTTTGTTTATCTCGATCTGGGGAAAGCTGCTCCCAGGCACGTCTTCATATTCTTCGTCGTAACGATCAAAGAGGTCAGTGGCATCTATTCCGACACTAATTGTTCCCTAAGGAATGACAAGCGAAACGAGTACGTAGCGTTAACAAACACCCAGGGCATACAGGCCAAACGGCTAAAGCATCCTTACATACGAGTAAAGTTTTTGGCAGTTTTTGACTTGTCCTGCAATTACCTTTACTGCTCTAAAATGCATTTCTTACACATTCAAGACAAACAAAAATGAACAATTACAATATTCTAAAACAGCAATATAAGCCATAAAATAAACCGGATAAAAGAGTTTTTCAG